GTCGTGCCGCGCCAACTCATGTATGAGTTCATAAGTGATATTGAATTGCTTATGTGATATATATGATACTATGTGATGTAAACTGGGGCTTAGGAATTTATCCTCCTACTTATAACATCCTTGAGACTCTAGATGAGTGGTGAACTTTAGACGTATGAACTGGAATTCTTGTGGTATAGAGTTAAGTTCTTTCTTTAGAAGTTATTGGTTGAGAATTTTGATATAATGGTGGAATTTTCCCTGTTTTAATTCGTTCGTTTTCATTGGGTGGGTTTGAAAATCCGTTGGTTAGTCGGGTATATATTGGTACGTATACTTGTTCTATGCGTTAGTGGTTTTCTTGTATTTTTCGTGGATATCCAGAAACAGCTTGAACCGATGTTGGAGGCGAAGCAGTCTTGTTTCCTTTCTTAAAATTGTGTCTTCTTGTAGCCTTTTGCAAACCTTTGCCTATTCCCTTTTCGCAAGACAAGCAACATCGAATTATGCTTGAGGCTTCTTTTTGTAATTCAATTTTCATACTTTAGGAATTTCGCTTGATCTTCCCCTTCCTGGCGTAGAACTTCAGATGGAATTGAGCATCAACATTTTTATTAATCATTATCTTTTGAAACTTGTTTCGTGATTACTCTAACTCGATGCGAAAGTTCAAAAGAGCGAGTGACATTGCAGTTCGTGGGAATACAATAGCCTCGAAATAGGCAGCAAGTCATAGACACCGGAGGATTTCGATCGGTCCAGTTCTTTTTCCTCGTATTGTTTGGGATATAGCCGTGTTCAGACCCCTACCTTGGTTTCACTGTGTGACCTATTTTTTTTAGCTTTCCAACTCTTAAATTCGCTTCTCTTGAAGTTTAGCCAATTCTGATTTATCTTATGTTGGGTACTGACCTTGTTTTGTAAGACCTGATTGCAAGTAAGATTAAGCATCTTTTATTTTTGCTTATCTTTATTCGCTTGCAGAGTATGTGACTTTCATCGGGACGTCATCATTAAGTTATCACAAAAACTCAAGGGCACAATTTTCTATCGCCACTATCGTGGGTAACCTACTCTCGAGGAAGACAATAATTATTCATGCACGACATCGAAATGAATGTACAGGAGCAGGAGCCAAAACATTTCGGTTCGAAAAGGAAGATGGAGTGATTTGACGCATATCAATGAGTGTTTCTTTCCACTTAAAAGATTATGCAGAAATCTTATAAGGTGGATAGTCGAGTCCGGAACAAGCACATCATGAGGAGCAGAACCGTCCTTGTTTTGAAATTTTTTCAATCGTAGAAAATCTTGTTCTTCTACTTCTTTCAGAGTTTTGGAGAGCTGACGTGACGGCCGACGCTGTTAGTCGGAAGAGTCGAGGCGAGCTAGTCATTGTAACTCTCAGGGGAGCTGCTGATTTGGGGTTATTCCAGACTAAATGACTGTCTTAGAATTTCTTTGAGAATTCTCGTCTATTTCAATCGTTGATCTCTTCGCGTATTAGAATGTGTCATTTGGAAAGGAAGTGGACTTGGAACTCGGACTTGCACCTTGCTATTTCTGAAACCCTTGAACTTTTGAAAATTGTGGAAAGCCTGAAATATATATTGCTTTGTTGAACCCAAAATTTTTAAAATTCGATAAAACCATCCCTTTTCGGATTGTCTTGGACTGCAAATTTCTTGTGGAAACTTGGACCGTAAGTCGGCCATGACCGGGTGTAGCCACGCGAAGTGATGGGTGAGCAGGCACGCCGTGCTGAGAGACGCGAGGCCAACCATGGGGCCAACCGATAACTCGCACGAGAGCTGCAGTCGTCATCACCGTACGCATGAACTCCCCGAGACAGCGAATGTGGCCGGAAATTGCAGCTGGTCTCCGTGTAGGTGGGTACGCACGCGTCCCAACGCTCCGCTTATGCAGCGCCAGCGAGCTTGCCGCCTCTTGGTGCTGGAACATGCCGACGAGGCAGTCCTTCCTACGGATCGATATCGGATACCAAACACATACATAAATGATTTCGAATTACCCTAAGCATGCTCCTAAAGTATGAATAGAGAAATAACTTTCTTAGAGGCTTTGATTCGATCTGAGCGATCTTCTAGTCTGTGTCCCGACCACGTTTGGAAGCCGGATGGACGACGATCTACCAAACGGTTGAAAGGAGCAGATTGTGTTTCGTCTTCTCCAAACCCTTCGCGTGACTTTCTCCTCACGATGGTGGCTGAAGGTGTCATGTTTTGTGTTGCTGCATAGGGTTCAAGACGTGTAATCCCTCCTTTTATAGAGGTCCTTGGGCCAGCCTAGGGATCTCTTAGAAGGTATAGGTTTTGGACTCCCTACAGGCCCAAATTCTTATGTTCAGCCCAGAAAACAATTTGGCCCATAGATATTAATTCATTCTACTAGAGAATTAATATTGCACTCCCGTACTATCCCAAAATGAATAAGGGATTCTATTAGACTCGATATAATTCCCTGTGTTTAAGGGGTTTATACGATAATCCTTATGAGTTCCTTAAGGGGACATCATCAACCTGGATGTCCAGGACATGGTTCCCTAATGCCAATAAATCGATATCATGCAGATAATGTTGTTACCCAAGAGACGGAGCATATTGAACCAATACTTGGTTCTCACCCATGGTAAATCAAAGTAACAAACAAATATCCCACATATCTAAGTATCACAGTTAAGGTTAAGAATTAGTAGAGTCACCGAGACTCAGGTTCTTCATGATAGTTAGAACAAAAGAACACGTCTCAACTGTGATCCATTCAATGCGACGTAGCGCACTAGTATAAACCAATAGCCAAGACAAGCTACATCCAGTTTATACTACAACCTACACCGATAGCCATGTCCATAACTATCTCAGTTGTGAATACCATTTTATCTTATAAGGGACCGACAATGTAATCTTCTGTGTGACTAGTAACACACCACATTGTCTACAATATAAGACAATTGGACATTTAGCATACAAGCAATCATAAAGAATGCATCAATGCGAAAACATTTATTTCAGTCAAAATGGAAAATCGAATAAATACAATCCCAAAAGCTCACATGAAAGTTTGCTTTACAATATACTCAAACAATCTCCCACTTATACTAAAGCTAAAATTTTAGTATATAAACACATGCCATAACAATTCTCCCACTTATACTCAAAGTCTAGCTGCAACACATCGTAAACCAAGACCCTCTACGTGTTTCTCGAAGACATTGACAGTCAGAGTCTTCGTGAAAGGATCAGCCAGGTTATCCAACGATTCTATCTTCGTCACAACCACATCTCCTCGTTTAACGATCTCTCGTATAAGGTGGTACTTTCTCTCGATGTGTTCACTAGCCTTATGTGCTTGGGGTTCTCTAGAGTTTGCGACTGCACCAGCATTGTCACAATAAATTGTGATACACCTAGGCACACTCGAAGATACCCCTAAGTCTAGTAAGAAGCTCCTGAGCCAAACAGCCTCCTTTGTTGCTTCTGAAGCAGCAACGTATTCCGCTTCCATGGTAGAATCTGCGATACATTTCTACTTCACACTCCTCCATGAGATCGCTCCGCCTCCCATCATAAACGCATAACCCGAGGTTGACTTTCTCTTATCACGATCAGCTTGGAAATCAGAATCTGTGTAACCCAAAGGAGTTAGACTGTCTGACTGGTAAACAAGCATATAATCCCGAGTTCTTTTCAGATACTTGATAATATGCTTAACCGCGGTCCAGTGTCCTTGACCAGGGTTAGACTGATATCTCGCTACCATGCCAACTTCATAGCAAATATCAGGCCTCGTGCACAGCATGGCATACATAAGGCTTCCTACAGCCGAAGCATAAGGAACCTTAGCCATTTCCTCTATCTCCTTTTGTGTCTTCGGACACATATCCTTAGATAGAGGAACTCCATGACGAAAAGGTAGCAACCCTTTCTTAGAGTTCTGCATGCTGAAACGAGCAATCACAGTATCAATGTAAGCAGCTTGAGATAAACACAACATTCTCTTCTTCCTGTCACGAATGACCTTGATTCCAAGAATGTGCGATGCCTCACCCAAGTCCTTCATTTGAAACTGTTCTGAAAGCCATACCTTTACGTCTGACAAAATCTTGACATCGTAGCCGATGAGAAGAATATCATCTACGTATAGTACTAAGAATACCACTACGTTTTCGTTGCTCTTTTTGTATACACAACTTTCGTCTTGACATTGATCAAATCCATAGGACTTGATCACCTCTTCAAAATGAATGTTCCAAGACCTAAAAGCTTGTTTTAGTCCATAAAGAGACTTCTTTGGCTTCCATACTCGATGCTCTTGGACTTTATTCACATAACTCTCGGGTTGCTGCATATAGATCTCTTCATCCAAGTTTCCGTTAAGGAAAGTTGTCTTGACATCCATTTGCCAAACATCATAGTCCATGTGACTTGCTATGGATAAGAGAATCCGGATCGACTTAAGCATGGCTACTGGTGAAAAGGTCTCATCTAATCGATTCCCTCTTTCTGAGTGAAACCCTTCGCAACCAACCGTGCTTTGAAGGAGATAACATTCCCGTCAGATCCTCTCTACGCCTATAGACCCATTTACACCCAATGGCTTTCTTGCTTTCAGGAAGGTCCCGAAGGTCATATACATCCATAGCATCTATAGATTCAATCTCAGAATCCATAGATTTCTGCCAAGAATTAGCATCTACATCTTGGATTGCCTCATTGTAGGTCCAGGGATCACTATCATGCTCTTCACTTGGGATCAAATCCGAAGACTCTCCCACAAACATGAAACGATCGAGCTGACGAACTACCCTCCCACTACGACGAGGAAATTCAGGTGTAAATACATCAGAGTCAACATGTTGTGCAGTCTCTTGTGGTATATCCTCTTGCACACTCGGTAT